GTACAATATATATAATATGCACATCCTAAATACAAACATGAAGACAGACGATACACTCTCAACACACCCTACACACCGTTATCGATTTCATCCAGCTTGTCTTTCGTCTGGGCCATAACTTTTTCAGTAGGTACAAAGTAGCCCACATACGCCTCCTGTGTTTCAGAGTCCACCATGGAATGCAGTATTCCCTTGGACATCCGCAGTCGCCCATTCTTGCGGATTCCCTCCGCTCTCTGCGTGCGTGTGTGTGTGAACAGTGCAAACAAAAACTCAGCTCCTCTGGCCACAGTAGTGGGAACCTAGCAGCAGCAAGATTCAGAACCTTATTGTGCAACACATCCAGAGCTGACAGCGTTGGATGGGAATACTATTGACATCTGTAGTTCTAATTACTTAGCTGGACTGTGATCTAAACTTTGTCGTAATACTACGGATGGAGCTCAGAATGTGTATAGCAAAACTATGAGCTACACGCTATGACCCTTACTCCTAAGCCCAGATATTAAGGGGTCCTTCCCGATTACTACAGATCATCATACATGGATAAATCCATCCACATACATGAAACACTGCGTTCACAGACCTGCGTGCATTGCAGTATTCATGCTGTCTGCATGCAAACAAAGCAGGTATGTATATATATATATATATATACAGAAGAAGAAGAAAAAATTATATATATATAGCATTGTACTTCACCACCCACGCCTACCCTCTTCTTCTCCTCCTCCACTTTCGGTGTTACAGCCACATTGCCGTACTCTCTCTCCATACGCAGTATATCTCCCTGAGTCTTCGAGGGTTCGCTGGGGAACACCACCAACGTGTGCGCGCGCTGAGCATTCTTGATATCCGGCAGCACAGGGATGACGCTGACGGCCTTCCTGAGCTTCTTCTTGGGATGTTTGAACACGCGATGGTCCTTGATTTTCTGCAGATGGTCGATACATAAACCACGGTGTTGACATCAGAAATGGCATTAGGTATGGTATTGGGTTAAATAAACCATGGTGTTTTCGTCAGTTATGGCATTGGGTATGGTATTGGGTTTGATAAATCACGGTGTTGTCATCAGTTATGGCATTGGGTATGGTATTGAGAGTACAGTTTGCGTGAAAGTGGCTCTACCTTTGGCTCAGTCAACAGATGAAATGAGGAGTCGCCAATTTATAAGTGACGAATACTTTCCGATGCGAACCCATCGCACATGATCGGCCTGCGCATCGGATGCCATGCTTGTACAGTGGTTGCCATAGTAACACTCGCGCATTGATTGGTGGCCTGTGTGTCCCATATCTGACGCATCGGTACAACCGTCTACGCGGATGTCTGCCCATGCCCACCGCATGAAATAAACGATGTAGAGCGAGAACTGCACCAGAAGCACACAGGCGCTGCACATATACTTACAAAAAATACACATACGTACGGGTATATGGCACCAGTGGTAGTCAAGTCATACCTGGAAACTGGCCTCGACTATGGCTATTTGCTGTGTACGGTCCATCAGTTGTATGCGTCGGTTCTCTGGTAAACCCTGGGACTGTGCCTTGCCTGCTAAGTTGTCACCCATGCTCGCCACCTCCGTGGACACATATCTGTGGCAAACGATTGAGACATGCGCTGCGAGTTAATGGTACATAAGCGTATCCCAGGGCACTCTCCCGATGCAAGTCATTAGTAGTAATGTTAGGCGCAAGTTAATAGTAGTAATCTTAGGTGCAAGTCAATAGTAGTAATGTTAGGTGCAAGTCAATAGTAGTAATGTTAGGTGCAAGTCCATAGTAGTGATGTTAGGTGCAAGTCAATAGCAGTAATGTTAGGTGCAAGTCAATAGTAGTACTGTTAGGCGCAAGTCAATAGTAGTGATGTTAAGTGCAAGTCAATAGTAGCAATGTTAGGTGCAAGTCAATAGCAGTAATGTTAGGTGCAAGTCAATAGTAGTACTGTTAGGCGCAAGTCAATAGTAGTGATGTTAGGTGCAAGTCAATAGTAGTAGGTGCAAGTCAATAGTAGTAATGTTAGGTGCAAGTCAATAGTAGTAATGTTAGGTGCAAGACAATAGTAGTAATGCTAGGTGCGAGCCAATAATGGTGATGTTGGGTGCAAGTCAATAGTAGTAATGTTAGGTGCAAGTCAATAGTAGTAATGTTAGGTGCAAATCAATAGTAGTAATGTTAGGTGCAAGTCAATAGTAGTAATGTTAGGTGCAAGTCAATAGTAGTAGTGTTAGGTGCAAGTCGATAGTAGTAATGTTAGGTGCAAGTCAATAGTAGTAATGTTAGGTACAAGTCAATAGTAGTAATGTTAGGTGCAAGTCAATAGAAGTAATGTTAGGTGCAAGTCAATAGTAGTAATGTTAGGTGCAAGTCATTAGTAGTAATGTTAGGTGCAAGTCAATAGTAGTAATGTTAGGTGCAATTCAATATTAGTAATGTTAGGTGCAAGTCAATACTAGCAATGTTAGGTGCGCCCGATAGACATTGTTTCGCTAAATAAAGAGTATCGACGTTCCCTACACCAAACATGACTACGCCTTGGGATACTAAACCACTGTGCACAAACTGCCGTCGCTAATAACCAAGGTGTGGCGGTACATCTTTTCTAAGCTTCGGAAATCTTTGCATATGTATGGCCTGATAGCCGTTGTGTGCGTCTCGTAATCATTGGACGTGGCTAGACGTACCATATCTCAGCACTCCAGCCCCCACTGAGTGTGAGGTTAGATAGGAGAAAGATATGCATACCACGATCACACACAACTATCCGAGTACCTTGGATTGACTGAACTGCCGAGTGATGTGTAGCCGTACTCGGTCGTACTGTGACGGCGTACGTTTAAAACGTACAACTATCTGTAAACCAGGCCAACCAGGCCAACCAGAAACAACACACAGCAATACAACACCACAACACCAGCCTGCACAATTGTACACGCACTTGTCTCGGTCCCTTGAGCTCCTCCTCATGTCTCTCTCCCTTTCTCTCGCTACAGTGAGATCGAAGCCCATACAACGTACACTATAGTCACCTACCTAGTCTTGATCAGCCAGTTGACATGCATTCCATGGACGTTCGATCGTTTCGATGACTTGGCTTTATCCTTCGGTTCATCCTGGACCAGCTCCAAGTCGTCGTTGTGGAGTCTCGCTATGGGCAACAAGAACGGAGGGCTCTCAGCATACTCATACTAAATGTCAAGCTTCGGCGTGCAAGCAAGACAGCATATGTATGTAAAAATGTGCCTATATGATGTGTAAAGCGATAGACCTGTACATATCTTCCGAGAGCGAATACGCGTGTGTAATACACGTACACACCAACATGTAAGGACGCTCAATTATATGCAGAAACGTATACGGCAACAGAAAAACAGAATGTACTGCTATAGTCGACTATACACCAACGTGTACACTGAACTGTGCTCATCCTTCTATAAAAGAATGTACTGCTATAGTCGACTATACATCAACGTGTACACTGAACTGTGCTCATCCCTCTATGTCATCGAGCGCCAAATTCATGTGCATACATACAAACCCCCTGTATACCATAGCAAAACAAAACCATTGGATTGATTCATATACGACACCACTTATACAGCTGAAGAATATACGACAAGCAGTTGTATTACAAACAAAACGCAATATCTGTAAATACATATGTATTTGGTTAATATATGCAATAAGTACATACGTACA